AACGAACGACTGTCCTCTCTCCTCTCTCAATCACCTTCTGGAGAAGCACTTGAATCACCATAAAGTCAAAATCGACATCCAATATTTCTTCGATCAGAGCTCTGTGGAATTCTACAAGAGAGGCACTGAATACCCACCCTCGCATTGGTGATATGTTGGTAATAATGGTGATGTATACTATGCTGAATAAGTACATCAGAGAAATAAGATAAGTAATTGAATCGAAAAACACCAAAGGTTCTCAAAAATTATGGACCGACCTAATAGTAACGCACCAAGTCTCGCCGGCAAGATGTCATGGGCTCGATTCCTCGTTTTGCACAGCGTTTTGCATTTTCGACAAAATGAGTAGAAAGGATTCCAGCGCTAATTCTGTCAATGCCTGTCTCTACCTGTATTGTATTATAGTTGTATTGAGTTTGCGTGCACCTGACCACGATTCGCCATGAGTGATCAACGCACATAGCTCACTGTCCAGGCATTTTTGCGCCAAACGAGGGTGATATTCGTGTTCGTGAGATCAAACCACCTCTGAAAGCAAGCTCCTAGCCAAATCTGAAATTTTGACCTATTTTTTAGAAAGGGCGGCCACCAGGCAGCCAAGCGCACGAAAGGATGGTTTGAAAGCAATTCGGCGAAAGCACCACTCCTGAACTTGGATGCAGAGCCATAAAAACGATTCCCATTGAGCTAATTAGACGGTTTTCTTTTCAGATTCTTGGTTGAAAGGAAGATTTCCATCTCAGGAGTTCAACGATAGGTTGGTGATATGAGGTTGCCTCACCTCACCTAATGGCTCACCATCAGTTTTAGAAGTTGGGTCAAAATCTCAGATTCGGTAGGAAACTTATCTCCAAGGGTAGTTTGATCTCCTGAACACGAATATCACGCCTGTTTGCCGCGAAAAAGCCTGACACGTGCATTACGGGCACCATGTTCATACATGGACGACTACTGCCCAAACCTGCAAGGAACTGCTCGAAATTTTTTCGTACAGGGAACTAATGGCAAAGTTGATAAATTAAAGAAGTTAGAAGCTTTCTGGCTACATCTTCACGAAGCACAAAAAAACAGACTCTCCGAGGAACCGTTCCCACGACCTCTTGCTCGCGAGTTCGGGGCACTGCCACTGCGCTTCCTTGCTTTATAACTACGTTCAAAGAATCGTTTAGCAGATAAGGAAGGCAGTTCTGAGCTCAGCGCCTCGAGGCGACTTCAACGGTATACGACTCATTGCAAATGGCCGGACCGGCCTGATGACCTTCCCTCGACAGTAGAATGGCTACTGTACGCCTGACCGTGAGATCCTTCCACAATGAGAGTTAGACTTGACTCACAACATGAACAGCATCTATCAGAGCCATTAACATTGCAGCAACGTGAGTTTTGCCGGGCATTTCACGGATAACATTGCGCGGATCATTTTTACCCCAGAAGATACCATACTTCGCCACTCGACCGGAAGGCGTTGTGAATGAGTATCCAGTTGTGCACACTTCCGCTGCGGTACTGCAATTCAACTCGGCAATGATAACGAGGGATAGAAGAAAAGTTTATACATACTGGAATAGAAAAATGACAAAAATACCTTCCAGCGTTTCGGGAGATAAAAAGCTGGCAGAGGAATCTCAACGCCTGACGACTTAGCTGGCTTGCTACGAGATCCTTTCGCAGGAGCGATTCAATCATCAGGTCTAACGTAAAGCTGGGAGCCCAACAAGGTGTTCAAAGACGCCCTGCAAAGGTTGAGAGCCCTGTAATCAATTTACATGAGTAGAAGCCGGAAGCAACATCAGAACTCTTATGCTCACGGATGTATGGAAAAAAGCAATCTTTCACAATTCACAAAAAAATCATCAGAACGGAAGGCGTGTTGCGCTACATTTGCAAGCAATCATCCATAAGCTTATAAATTCACTTGAATTCAGCACACATTAATAACGTTTACAATAAATATTGAGTATAGACACCTCATCATCAGCAGAAAGCACTACGCAATATACACAGTTCAAACCAATTGACCTGTTCAGGTCCCTGAATATGAAAAAAGCTATGTGCTATGCGCTATGTAGGCTTCCCGAGACATTCAAAGATACGAAGACATTAGAACATCAAGAAAGTCACGATAAAAGGTCAATCAACCCTGAAAACATTGATGACAACGCCCATCTTACATATTATAAAGCGCTTCGTCTGTCGTTCTGTGTGTCGTTCTGTATGTCTGTCACGAAATTCCCTAGCTCCTCGGGATCCGCCTGGAGGGACCGGGTCAAGTGTGGGACGGGTGGGCAAGGTCTCACGAAGTACAAAACACACATCAGCTAAGCGGAGCCCCGCCCACAGTGGCGAATGGCATGTGCGCATCGAGCTGAACAGTACTGGAACAGATCGAGGATTTTGCCAATTCATCGAAAAACAACCGAAAATCTGGGCCAAAAACGGGGGGGCGTTGAATGTGTGCTTGGTGTAAGTTCCACATCGAATGAGGGGAGACCCACCCCCATGGGCGAAGCGCTGTCTCCGAAGAAAGCTTAGGGAGGTCTTAATGAACATTGTCAGTACTCGGTTGCTCAGACATTGCCTACAGCGCAGAAATAAGTTGGGTGTAGGGAACCAAGCGTCTCTAAGGTGTTCCCCAGCATACATGACGTGGGGAGGTCCGCCCACAATGGGCGGAGCGCGCTCTGAAGTGTACAGCGTTTTCTACAAGTCCTCATAATTCGGGCCGGAGAAGTCTTAGTGAGCCGGAAAAAGGTGGATAGAGGTGGGTGGAGGAGTGGAGGCCAACTGTCATCGGTGGGCGGGGCATGACCAAAGTGGGCGGAGTTTGCGACGAAAATTCATAACTCGGCTCCAAGAAGTCCCGGAGGCCGGGAAAAGGTGGATAGAGGTGGGTGGAGGAGTGGAGGCCAGCTGTCATCGGTGGGCGGGGCATTGACCAAAGTGGGCGGAGTTTGCGACGAAAATTCATAACTCGGTTCCAAGAAGTCCCGGAGACCGGGAAAAAGGGATAGAGGTGGGTGAAAGGAGGTCAACTGCTATTGGTGGGTAGAGCACGCACCAACGTGGGCGGAGTTTGCCCTAAACTTATAATTTAGTTCCGAGAAGTCCAGGAGACCGGGAAAAGAGTGGGTCGAGTCCGACAACGCACGGGAGGACAGCTGCTATTGGTGGGTAGAGCGTACACCAAAGTGGGCGGAGTTTGCGACGGAAATTCATAACTCGGTTCCAAGAAGTCCCGGAGACCGGAAAGGTGGATAGAGGTGGGTGAAGGAGTGGAGCCCAACTGCTGTTGGTGGGCGGGCATGTCCAAAGTGGGCGGAGTTCTCCACAAAACTTTGTAACTCGGCTGCAAGAAGTCCTGGAGACCGGGAAAAAAGTGAAGGAAAGGAAGTGAATTTCTAATGGTGTGCGGAGGATACACCAAAAAGCAGGTTTCGCCGCCAAAATATAAATCGGCTCAGAGATAGTTCAGAGATCGGTAAAAAGTGGAAGAGGTTGGCGAGGAAGAAAAAGATAGGTGGGACATGCAAAGAAATAGGCGGAGTTTACCACGAGGTTCATAAATCGGTCCGGAGGCAGTCCGGAAAAACGGACAATTGGTTGACGATTACGGACAATTGGTGGAGGAAGGAGGGAAGCTCAAAAGCCATCGGTGGATGAAGCATGGGGCAATCGGATAGAATTCAGCTTGAAAGTCAAATATTCGAAGTGTATTGGGCCAAATTCGAAAATTCACGCCGCACCATCCTATATCGCCGCAGAACTGTGCTGTGCGCGCAACGCGTGCGGCGCCAAGTGTTTTCCAACAATAATGTTACTTCGCTCACCTTCGTTCTGTGCGTATATGTCCACTCCACTTAAAAATGTTACAGCTCAGGCATTCCTTTACCAGTGTCATTATGTGCACTTTACTCAACCCGAACGTCACAATCCGTGCATTATGCTCATCCAGCATTTCAGAGAGTGCTTGGAGAGCTTCGTTGTTGTCTACGTTCGTATAGAGCGCAGTTACATCAAATGACTCTGCTACACAGTTTTCTTGGATTCTGCAGGAACGTAGTCGATCTAGAAATTCTCTTGTTAGGTGTGTGGGTGTGAGGGTACATGTTGTAGGGGTCAGTCGATCGCTCGTTGGTACTGCTTAGACCTTGATCACGTTTCGCGCCTAAATCCATGATCTCATTGGGGTATATAAACCCCTCGATTGTAGTTATGTTCAGTTTATTCGCTAATAAATATTCTGTCTTCTGCCTGCTACCTCTGAACGCTACAGTACATACTGGAGAAGTTGACCAACAATTTGTTGAGAAACCACGAGATGCGGTCTGTTGGTCCTCCCACACAGCTAATGATAGGTCGTATTTTGTAATCGCTAGCATTAGCCGAATGTTCTCCTCCGTTGCTAGCTTATGAGTCTTGATCAGGCTGTAAAACACCGGGCACGAGGGAGTATCCAACTTCAATCTTCTTATTAATTTTCCATCTAACCCTGCCGACTTCCCTACTGACCTCCACGCAGCGTTCAACCTGTGGCATTGGGTGAGAAACTCTTTCTCTGTAGTGCGACTGTAGACAGAGGTGTCACTCAGGTGGAGTTCGTAATTTCGCGATCTAGTATACGAGGTGAAACTACGAACTCTCCCCCTTTGTCGCTTACAGATGGGCGGATCTCATTATTTGCTACACGCTCTCGGATCTCCTGAAGCCCTTCCAGCTGTGTTCGTAGTTTCACCTCGTATACTAGATCGCGAAATTACGCAACTCCACTCTGAGTGACACCTCTGTCTACAGTCGCACTACAGAGAAAGAGTTTCTCACCAATGCCACAGGTTGAACGCTGCGTGGAGGTCAGTAGGGAAGTCGGCAGGGTTAGATGGAAAATTAATAAGAAGATTGAAGTTGGATACTCCCTCGTGCCCGGTGTTTTACAGCCTGATCAAGACTCATAAGCTAGCGAACGGAGAACATTCGGCTAATGCTAGCGACTACAAAATACGACCTACCATTAGCTGTATGGGAGGACCAACAGACCGCATCTCGTGGTTTCTCAACAAAATGTTGGTCAACTTCTCTAGTATGGGCTGTTGCTTTCAGAGGTAGTAGGCAGAAGACAGAATATTTATTAGCGAATAAAATTGAGAAGCGTGACATTTGGCACTAGTGGGGTGTGAGCGGATAGGCTACAAACTAGAGCTTCGAACCAATTTTTAGGTCTTGAAAACGACGATTTGTTCGAAACGTCGACCAATAAAGTGTTCCACCATAACAAACCTGGAAGGCTTTAACAGAAGCAAGACTTTCTGTTAAATTTCTTGTCAGACCACCTCGACTGGCGGAATGGAGCTCATTTGGCTATTCGAGTAGGTCTCGTTGTTTTTGAAGAGGCCTTGGTCGGGACCAGGGTCAAGCGAGGCGTCGAGGAAAATTTGGAAATACGACCCCCCCCCTCCCTCCCCCAGAGGCCGAAGTCCATGAAACGACCCTCTTCAAAAGCCGAACTATGAAAAGGTTGTTTAATTCTCCCCAAAACTGTTCATAAAAAGCCCTGCTACCCCACCGTCCACCAAAAAATTCGTTAAGAAGTACAAAAGTGAAAAAGTCAAAGAATGATCATTATTGATGAGTCCTACCAAACGAGCAAACGAGAAAAGGAGCAAAAACAAACTAGCCACTAAAAATGGCATACTATGACAACATCTCTTCTTTATTTATTTCCTTCACAAGACTTACCAAATTCTAGTACTACACAGATTATGGTTCTCAATTTACACGTCCCCCTTTCAGTTGAAAGAAGCCTTGTAACCGCCTTCGCCAGCTGTGTGTTGACTGATCTTTGGTTGACCGTGGAGCAGCTTATTTACTATTGAAATTTGAACAAATATTCAAATGATTATAACTTTCTTCAAAGTATGACGAATTTTCAATCTGAAAGCAGATTTGGGAGTTTTGTGAAGAGCTCTTTCTAATCAGTATTGAAATTACAAAATTATAAGAAATAACAAATTTAGATCAATTAACGAGGAAAATTCATGATGAGCACGAGTTTTTACACTTTCCGAAGCCATAACTTGCTTCATTTTCGTCAAATTCGAAAAGTTAATATGGCAGACAAAACTAGAAGATTTTCTCTATCAAACGGTTCTAAAGCAGCTTCATACGTCCAGTATTAAAAAATGGCCACGTTGAGGATTTTTGCAAAATTAACGAGGAAAATTCGTGATGAGTGCGAGTTTTTACGCTTTCCAAAGCCATAACTCCGTTCAAACTCATCCAATCTGAAAGTTAATACGTCATCATAAACTAGAAGATTTGCTCTATTCAAGGTTACTAGAACTGCTAAATACGTTCCACTATTTAAAAAATGGCCACGTTGAGGATTTTTGCCCGAGTACCGCCGAAAGGTACTTTTTCGCTGCATTGGCACTATTTCAACGACTATAGCTCCTTTCAGGGCGATTACATACTAAAGTAGGAGCAGATTCGAAATCCTCGTGCTTTTCTCTTCC